CAAGAAAACAAATATAAAATAAAAAGTGCAAACTTACAACAAAACTAACATGAACCTGTAGCTCGCCTTTTTTGCTCCCCCTTTCAGAAGGTTTAAAAGAAAGCTCTATAGTTTGGACTCCCGTGGTTCTAAATCTAATCTAACAAGTGCAATGTGAAATTGATAAACACCAAAGAGTCCAAATCCAAAAAATCGTTTGGAAAATTCATTTTAGGATAAAAAATGCCAAAAATAGACTGCTTCGTTAGATACAGAGTTGCCACTTAAATATTTTATTTTGGAAAAATTTAGGAAACCCATGACTCGTGCCAAAGGCCACGTGTTCATCATCACCAAGGTTGCCTCGGCTCGGGAACTTAGGTACGAGAGGGGAAGGTCATAAATTGAGCACCCCTTGCTCACCCGATCAAAGATCGGCCTCTACTAATTATGATATGATTTTTTTTATCAACATTATGTTTTCTTGTTCCGGTTATTATGCTAGCATTACTACGTGATACGTGCATACAAGTATAGATTAGTTTGCTTAAGTTGGAACAATTCAATTTCATGTTTGTTTTGCGAAAAGGGTTTGATTTTGCCACCTCAAGTGGGCTTAAAGCTTTGTGAATTTGCCACTCAACAAAGTGGGCTTAAAACTGTGAATTTATTGAATCGTTCCAATTCAAACAACAAGCCTTCATCCATAGGCACTCAATCAGTTTAGCAAGTAAGCATTTAGCCACATGGCAAGCATGCAAGTCATTGCAATCACTCACACTCATGCAAGTATGCTAAGGCATTAAAAACTCACCTAGTACTCCAAGCCAAGAAAATATGAGCTAGAAAAATATGCATGTTCCTAACTATACAAAATGACTAATGCAACACATGCAATATGCAATTACTAGGCTCGACTACTAATACTGCATGTGATTCAATTTGATAACATGCGGTCTAAGCACGTTTTAGACACCCCATTTGTGACCGACCTTAAGACTCAGACGTCACCGATTGAGCGCTTGGTGATGTTGCATATTGTGCTCGTTCAGAAGTTTCAGAGTCTCGGCTGCGAGCCTTGCCTTCGGACTTTCGGACTCTTTCATGCTTTGCCTCGGTTTGCGAACCAGGCTCTGTTTTCTCTATTTTCTCTTCCCGAAGGGAGGGAGAGGTCATGCAGATCATCTCTCAGTGGCCGTAGGCTACGTTTCGTGGTCGTAGGCCATTTTTGCCCGTTTGGAGTCCGGTTCCCGATTTTTCAAAATCGTTGGCCGTGCCTCGGTTCAAGACCGCCTAACTACCTCCGTTTGCTCCAGTTTTTGGCATACGTCTTATTTGATCCCTTTTGAGGGACACTGGGGTCCGAGAGACCAACTTCATGGTTGAACACCACTCCCGGTGCCTAACAGCCGGTTTTCGGGGCCTCGAGCTGCGCGTTTCGGCCCCTAAACCTTCATTTTGCATCGATTTTGGTTCATTTTTGGCAGGGACCTCTGTTTCATTGGTAAGAAGTTCGTAGAGAGGCGGGAGGCTAGTAATTGTTCAGACAGCCAATTTTATTCCTCCGTCGCCCGATTTTCACCACTTCAAAGCCAATGTTGAACACCCTTGGGCCATTTTCTTGCACCCTGAACCCCATATTTGTGATGTACACATCTGGGAGGCCACCAATATTTGGTGGCCGGCCAGTAATTGTTGTTGAACCTTTTGAACCCCTTTGAAAAGTGGGTTGTTCTCTCTCCTGGTTCATTGTCTCCAGTTTTCAACCACATGGTTGTGTTGAGCACACATGGGAGGCCGCCAATATGTGGTGGCCGGGCACTAATCCTGCTTGACCTTTTTGACCCTTGGCCGGCCGGCCATGGGAGGTAGCCGGCCAGCCACCTGCAACCTCAATAACCAGCCGGCCATGTTCCTTGCATCAAGTACAGTGCAGAAATGTATTCATTTTCTCCCCAGATTCTATATCCGGGGGGCTGCATTTTGGAGGGAAACTTGACTCATTTTCCCTCCATTCCCCCCCCCTTTTTCCCCTCTTTGGCCTATATATCAGCAACTCCAGCTGCTGGTTTAGGGTTACAAAAACTCTTGCCTCAAGCCTCTTGCATTAGCTCTCTCTCCCTCCCACTTCCAACCTTCAAAACCCCTAAGTCCCACACTCATTTCTACACCATCTCTAAGCCAACCAATCCACACTCCATTCCAGCAGCTTCAAGGCCTTTTCCAGAGGTCAAAGGCTCCCAAACTCAAGCCAAGAGTTGCTAAAGGCTTGGTCTTCAAGGGTAAGTTCTCTTATCCCTCTTTTGTGCTTTATTTTGTTCAATACATTAGCCATACTTGCTTACTGTTTTGGGCTCCGACCCTAACTGGGACTAGTCTTATTTTGGGCTCCTTTTCACTTTTTTTAAGGGCCTCTCACTGTTTGAGGCCTCCTTGTTACACTTGCTTCATTATCCCTCTTGTATGTCATTATCTTGTGTAGTATTTTTGGCCTATGTATAAACTGTTTTGAGCTCTGTCATGAACTAAAAAGTGGCTTATTTTGAGCCCTTGTTCAACATTGTTGAAGGGATCATTGCTGTTTGAGGCTTTCATTTATCACTTGCCTTTATATCTCTCTTTTGGCCATATTTTTGCATGATTTGTTAGCATCTTTTGCTTCTGTTTTTGGGCTCTGTTCCGAACTACAAATGACCTCATTTTGACCCCCTATTCATGTTTCATTAAGGGTCTTTCATTGTTTGAGGCATCCTTTTTATACTTTGTGTTATAACTCTCCTTTTGGCCTTATTTTGCATAGCATTTTGAGCATTCTTGTACACTGTTTTGGGTCCGGCCACCAACTGGAAAATATCATATTTTGGGCCCCTCTTCAACATTGTTGAAGGGCCCTCATCTTTTTGAGGCCTGCAGCTGTGACTCAATTCTTTATCTCACATTTAGGGCCATTTTTGCATGCTTGTTTTTCCCTATTTGTGTTTATTGTTTGACCTTGCTTAGAACTGTGAATGTGCTTGTTTTGGGACTGCCTTGAATCTTTCTTCACATGTCATGATCAAATAATGCATGCTTGATGTAGCTACAAGTCATTTCATGTGCTTAATCTTGCATTTCGGGACCATTTCATGCATCGGGTGCTATATTGTCATGATTCGGGGCTGTTTCGGGCCATATTTTAGCGCTGAAATTTGCATGTTTGCATATCATATTTCATGCCTTGCCATGTCTTGTTAGAATGGCATTTGGTGCCTTAGGGTCGGTCCTCGGTTTGCGTGCATGTGTGCACGCATTTCGAGTGTCTCATTTTTCATCTCATGGCCTCTTATGTGAGTGTGGCTGAGGTCCACTCATGTTGGTGTAAGTCCATTGTGCATTGTGTATGCCATTTCATTTCATAGCATTGCGTATGCTAGGTTGTATGTTAGAGCATTGTGTATGCCATGTTACCTCGTACATCGTGCATGCCATTTCATAGCATTGTGCATGCTAGGTTGTATATTAGTTGCATTCATGCATATCATGCATATTGCATTGTGTTTGGGATAGGAGTTAGCCCGAGCACGAGAAACGAGGTACATTTCATACTCCGCGTGACGGAACGTGTCTCAATTCCCCAGTCACCGACATTCCGGATTATCCATGATGGAGTTAGGTTTTAGTTGAGTTTTCACATGCATTCATTCTATATTGAGTAATGCAAATCGACTCCTCGGCCATCATGCATCGATATGCGTGATTGGTGGCACAAGGATCGAGGCATACATACATTTGTGAAAATACATTGCTATGCCCCTTTCCTGCTCTCTGTTGCAGCAAATCAAGAATCAGCAGTCTTCCGGGGCTCGGTGCGCTTTCCAAGAATAAATTGCAAAACAGAGGCTAATTGGGGCATCCCAGTGGATTTCCGCGCGAGGCAGCCCAGACATGCATCATCCATCATCTGAAGAAGAGTCAAGGCAGTCCCTGGCTTGCATGCCAGTTTATTTTTGTTTTTAGTTAATTTGTAAATTAATTAGGAATTTGTATATATTTGAACTGTATTATTTGGACTGTACTATTTATTCGGACCCTCTGTGCGAGGGCATAACTGTAATAAGTGTGCGTGTGTGTGATGCATGTCTTCCAACCCCACGTCTTTCTCCCTTTTATTTACTTGCTTATGATGGTTAGATTAGGGCATGTTTAAATTAGCATACAGTATGACAGCATGTTTGCATCATTCATCTCACTACAAGAAGTTGGGTCTTGAATGACGAAATTTTTTTGTCTCCAAAGAACTAATTTCGTCACTATAGATATTTGTGAGGAAATATTTTCGTCACCAGTTTCGTCATTGAATGTTTGTCACTAAAAACCACCGTGACGAAAAATAATTTCGCCACTAATGAAATTACTTCAGTGACGAAATTTTTTGTCACCAATAAAACAATATTTTGTCGCCAAAAATTCTCATTTTCGTCACCAAATAATTATTCAGTATCATATTTATAACTTTAGTTGACGAATAAATTTGTCACATATGTTGATCATTGATGTGGAAATAATTTCGTCACAGTAAGATGTAAAGGTGACGAAATTTTTTGTCTCCAAAAGTCATGCATGGGTGACGAAATATATTTCGTCGCAAATATATACACACGTGACGAAATTTTTAATCACCAAACAATAAAATCAATGAAAACTTTCATATATAAACTGTAATAAATTTTATCACAAAAAATATTTATTAGCGACGAATAATCACTTTGTCATAATAACAAGTACAAATGACGAAACAAATTCGTTACTAAACTTGTTTCATATTTTATATTTCAATTTAAATTATTATTTCACAAATATCCCTGCTCATATCCTAATAACTTTTTAATTGTACTAAGAAATCCACTAACTATTATACACCACTCCATAAAAAAAATTCACTAAACAATTTATATTATAAATCAAAATATATCCATTAAACAAATTTCATAATAATCCATTAAGTAAAACAAAAAAAACATCATAACAAATTCCAAAATGAACTAACGTGGAGTCCACAAAAAAAATTAACACGATCTTGATTTGCAACTCGAACTAAGTATCAATTCATATAAAAATAAATAAATTCAGCACTTGATCTTGATTTGCAAGTATGCTTCCAAACGTAATCAAAACCAATCTGTAAAGAAAATAAATAAGGAAAACATTAATATATTGTCAATTACATCTAAACTCATATATAAATAATTTTATTGTATAAGCCAATTTAGTAGAAATATATATAACAGTCCAAAACTTCAAAGAGTTGAAATTATCTTTGATGATAAGTAACACGGATAACAAAAGATGCCAGAAGATGCCAAAAGAGTACATGAATATCCTGTATCACTAGCACTAATGTCAACAAGAACCAGAAAAAATCAAAGAACCTGTTTCACACAAACTAATCAACATTTTTATTTAAATCTAAATATTTTCCTATTTTATTTTTAACTTCAACGAGGCAAAAGGTCAAAACATATAGCTTTCAGGTTTCTTTGGTCACCAAGTTTCCTAGTGTTCAAGCTAGATTCTAACATAATTGGCATTGTGTAACATATATATTGAATAAATTTAATGTTGAATGTCCTCAAGTATGATTTCCAAGGCATTTCCCTCTCATTGTTCTGGAGCCGAAAGTTTAAATTCCTAGGAACACTATACCAAAGCCCAAGTATGAACTAAAAAAGTCCAGATCTGACATTCCTACATCATCAATATAATGATTATTTGAATATAAAATTCCAATATTTGACTTTGATCCACATCCATGATACACATTATCTTTTCACAATTTAATAAGTAGTTCGTGGTCTTTGATCATACTAAAGCCTCTCTGCATAAAAATCAATACATAAGATAAAAATTTGTTGCCTATAGCTTTGATATACAGATTTTAATTTGATGAAATCTATCTAAGTTGATTAAATGAGCAACCTCATTCCAAATCTGCTGCATTTCAATAAGTGAGAAATCAAGTTGAACTATGCAGTAATAACTAAAATGCCTCTATTAGAGATACAGGGAACATGTTATTATTTTGTACGCATTAAGAATAACAACAGTAGGAGGGCATAAAGAAAAGAAAACATATTAATGAACCCATATCAACAATTAGTAGCCCATAAGAATCAAACAGCAACCAGAACCTAAACAAAGAGGGAAGGAGAGAGAGAGAGAGAGAGAGAGAGAGAGAGAGAGAGAGATTACGTTAGGTGAAGGGCAATAAAATGCTTGCTTCTCATCCTCATTCGATGGACCAATTGTTCACCCATTTCAGTTATGGGATCATTACATTAACTGTCTATCATCTTTATAGAAAAACATCCTTGATAGTTAGTTGATTGGGCATGTTTGCCTGCAAGAATATAAAGCTATAATTGTGAAGGTTTGGAAATAATTACATAGATGCTACATGGTTTATAGCAAAATGATTCTATTATTATATATCAATGAATAACACATACCAAGTCTCTCAGAATGACCATGATGTTTCTGCACAATAATATCACGCTTTCTATACTCTACAACCTCAACATCCTCTTGGTATTACAGTAACTTAACAGCATTTGGAGCATTATAAGCGCAGGGATCTTTGCTCTTTGTGTTTAAACCTCTTTTTAGGCCTTATTTTGCATAGTATTTTAAGTTTGCATGTGCATTGTTTTGGGTTTGGTCACTAATTGTACAATACCATGTTTTGAGCCCCTCTTCAACTTTGTTGAAGGGCTCTTGGCCATTTAGGGCCAGAAGCTACTACTTGCTTCATTACCTCTCTTACGGGGCCATTTTTGCATGCTAGCTTAGCCCTATTTGTGTTCACCTTTTGGCCTTGCTTAAAA